AGTATGTAGTTTCAAAAAATAAAACATTTAATCTTGATTTTGCCACTATTTATAATAAAAAATTGTTATTTAATGTAGTTATTTGCACTCAGACTCTGGATAGTTTATCTGCAAAGTGATTTTCATGTTTAGTGTAAAAATACTATTTATTATCTTACTATTTTCACATTTTATTTGCATAATCTCTAGAACCTCCTAAATGGATATTAAAAGTTTTTTAAGGTAAATATTTATATTTTATTTTCCATTTTATCTGCTATATACTATCTCTAGCTATTATCATCAATGTACAGTGCAATGAAATATTTAAAATTAAGAAATGGAAATAGGTACTTACTTTTTATCTCTTTGTTGTATAATCTTAAGATATCTTCTTTAGGTCATATGTGTAATTTCAAGTCTAACTTTTCAAGTTTTTTTATTTTTAATGTTTTATTTTAATTTACAATTCTTTATCTTTTATTATTTATGTCTACATATTTCAACAGATCTCTGCAGGTGATATAACACAATAATTGGCAGAGAGTCTGCTTTAGCCTACTGCATAATGTTTCTTCTCGCCCCTTTTTATAATGCATGACCAGCAAAGTGACAAGTAGAAAAACGTAAATGATCATTAAATGTTTCAAATGTCAACTTTAAAATGTAAGAAATACTTAATTAACTAAAATATAAAAGTGAAACCTAAATGCAATTTACCTGTTTATCAAACTAATAATAGTATGTATTGGGTTGGAAAAAATAGTCAAACACTAGGGACACTGATCTCCACAAGAGATTGAAAGCACTTGTCATTTGAAAAATAATCTATTACTTACTTGCCTCCTAGCCTGAAGAGACTGAGAAATCTAAACTTTCTATTGGTTATAAGCGTCCCATTCAAGGGTACAAAAGATTGTTGCTTAGCAACAGATTACATTGGAATGTGAGCCTTGTGTCTAGCAGGAGGGGGTTAAGATATAAACATTTTCTCAGAATTTTAGCCATATTATAACTAATGTTTGGAATTCAAACTTATATGCATAGAAGCTTATCTAGACTGTCATAGAGATACTGAGGGTAAGCTATAAAGAAACGTAAGCAACCAAATGTAAGATATTTCAACTGCACATGTATCACATGACAAGGAAATGAAGTTTTAATTGTTTGTTTCAGAGGTTTCTTTCAAAATAAAGGAATAATAACTTGGATAATATAAAACTTTGAATTATAAAATACTTGATAACGTTAAGTTCATTAAACTACATTGATATTGAAGTGCTTTTATTATGTTCTGAACATAACTTAGTAACACTCTGTGACATGTGCAGAAAGGAATTTATAGAGTGTGCCAGTAGTCGTCACTTCAAGCAAGTTAAGCTCTTTTCTTCTTTCTTCCTTTGAATATTCAAAATCTTGACAGCTTTCCCACTTGCATTGAGACAATCTAGCTAGCTAAAGGAAACCCACCCATAACTTTAAATTAATTTTTAAAAATATCTAGAACGTAACCTCCAGATTTAAAGTAATTGTCGATATGTGTCATACCTCCCTTGTCACTCTCAAAATCTACTGACCTTGGCATTATCCTAATTATGCGTGTGGGGCTGAGGAGAAACAAAAGTTTCTGAGTGCCCCTGGTTGTCTATCAAACCCCTTCAGGGCTTTTGAGATTTAAAACCAAAATAACTGCCACTTTAGTTCATTTGTTCATTCATTCATAGGGTTAAAGAAAGTTTTACTAGTTTTTAAATATATTTTCACACAAAACAGTTATAGGTTTTGAACCCCATATTATATGGTAAGAACAGTAGCAATGATTCTGTAAGTGGGAAGTAAAATCTCCTAATGAAGACAAAGATAGTTGTTAGGACCAAAAAAATTGATGTTTATACGTGCTCATTCTACTGCTTTTTTCTTCTCAATGTTTTATATGCTTTATGTTGTCAAATATCATTTGGATTCTACTCAGCTTGTATTGATTATAAAATAAGTGTATTTCAAAACATCCAAATCATGTAAATGAAAAGTATTTTCATCCTAACTCCGGTTTTTGTGTTCATTAGTAGACTTTGCCCCCCCCCCCTCATCTTAGGAATCTAATAACAATGGAGGAAAGAATTTTTAAATTTAACACTAAATTTTTGTAAGTATATTTGCGTGAAAATTATAATGCTTTAAGAATATATAAAAAAATAGGAGGATGTACACAACTCAAACTTGTGTGAATGTTGAAATACACATAGGATGGGTTTTGTTTAAAATAATTATTATAATAAAAACTTTTTTTGAGTAGTGAATGACCAATCAATCTCAGTTGACAGTAGGAAAAATGCTTTTTTTCAAAGTAAGAAATTACTAACATTAAAAATCAAACTTCTTTAACCAATGATTTGGCTTTGCCATCTTCAGGATGCTTTATGATTCTGTACCTCAAGGGCACATAGGTTCTTAACTCTTTTTGCTGTGGTGCAAACAAGTGAGAATTTTTGCACATTTTACCTGTATGGGATACCAGTCGATCATAGATTAACTTCCAGCTACTAGCAGATATCCATTTTACAGCTTGGTAGATTGAAGCAAATTTAGATAAGATGTTCTATTCAAAGACACAATGACAAGGCAGGAGCAAGCCTTGAACCTGTTACCTTTCAATTATGAATCCTAGGCACTAACCACTAGGCCATACATTCCCTAATAATGGTAATAGTACATATGAAAGAAAGAACAATTTTAAACATACCCTATTTGTTCACACAAAGCATGGATTGCAACAACAGTAAGATTGAAAAATAGCTTGATACTAAATATACAAAGTAACACTATACAACAATATCACAGCATATCAAGTTAGCAAAACATTAGGTGATATTATAAAATAGTGAACCATCTCCCATTTTGATTGATTGGTGGCTTATGTTACTCTATAAGTAATACCTCTGTATATTTTCTACCTAAAATATCCTTGGATTTTTGTATTTCAGTTGTAGTCATTCCTAACTGACTAGATAGTCCATGTTATCAACTAGGGTTTTATTAAAGTGCTAGTTTTGATGTTACTTTGACTTATGCCATTGATATATTCTAAAATCCTTTGGTAGAGTTTGTGGCAAGTCTTTCCAGTTTTATAATCTTCACATTCAGAATTTGCTGCTTTATGATATTACAGGTAAATACAGTATGTTGAAGTTAGTAATAATACTCATCTCGAAGTGGGTAATAATGTGCATTAACATTCGTAATACACCATTTAAGACACAATTATTTATTATTGCAAAACAAAGATATTTTGTCTTATGATGACCTGAACAAATTTGGCTGAAAAGTTTGTACAATATATTTATTTTGGCATAATAAATAATTGTGGTTTGAATGGTGTACTACTTTTATTAATTAATAATATATATTTTTAAGTTGGTAATAACATGGATAGATTTCTTACAATCAAGTGAGCAACAGTACACATTATGTTCTTAGTAACTATAAACTCTTAAGGCTGGTGTCAGGTTTTATATAGAGGCCAGATTCTTTACAATAGGTGTCTATGACTTGTTGGCCAAAAATTTCAAGAATAAGCGAATAGCACACAATCCACTTGTTTTAAAATTAAATATTCAAAACAAGTCAAACTTATGTACAAAATTTTGATACACTATTGGTTATCATAGTTTATTTTCCCATGACAGGTATTTTGATTTAAAACTTTTAACCTTAAGTCTAATTAAATTTAAATAATTCATTTTGACCCAGGGCCAAAAGCAATTAGGGTGTTCAGAAATAATTATATTTTCACCCTGCTCATGCACTAGGTAGATTACGAGTAGCATAAGTGGCAATGATAATAATAATAATAAAAATTCACGAAGAATTTAAATCTGGTTAGGATGACTGGGGTGACTAAGATCAAGATAATGGTATGGTTATTTGTCATCGTTGGTTTGGGAGGTTATAACAATTTCACTTTAAAAAAAACAATTTTGGGTGTGGATAAAAAAATCCTAATACCCTAATATCACTTTATACATGTCAACATACTACACAGTTTTATTAAGTTCATAGGAGAAATATAGGTGCACGAAGTTACTGGGGTAACTGATAATTTTGGAAATTCATTGGTTAAAGGATTATGTTTAACAGATTTCTTGAAAAAGTTTGATGCTAATTTTAGTATTCTTTCTTTAATGCGTGGAATCAAATTAACCGAGTTTAGGTATACTAATGGTGTGTATATGGGTAATCTGTAAGCTATTTTTAATATAAGATTTTGTAGTGTTTGTATTTTGTCATATAATGGGTTGGACATGTTACAAAGAATCATAAAAGCGTATTCAATGGGGAGGTGTGTGAAGTAAGATGTATAGATGCGTACTGTGGTTTTGGAGTTGCATCCTTTTTGGTAGCCTCCAATCTTTCTTAGGTAGCATAATCTTTGTTTCATATTTTTACATATATTACTAATATGGTTAGTCCACGAAAGTTTGGAGTTGAATGTTATTCCTAGGAATTTAATAGTTTTAGAAATGAGAATGTTAGTGTCATAAAGTTTTAATTTAACCCAGGCTATTTTTTCTTTTTATGTTTAAACCATCTGTAAAAGATGATGGCCTGCGAATTGGTTATCATAGTTGTATCCAGAGCTTTAAATAATTGTCTCCTTTTCATCAAAGTCCATGATGTTGATTCACAACAATTGAACTATGCAACAAATGATTTGTAAACAGTAATGTAAGCAAACTTACCATAACTATTGCTTCTAAAATTAACTTAGTTTAATATTCACACAACAGAAACCAAATAACACTCTCATTCATATATATCTAATGGCTGGTAACATTATGTATGTTGAGAATGATAACAATATGTATGCTTATGTTAGTAAAAAAGTTCACAAAAATATACAAGTTACAATGAAATGTTGAAATAATCTTATTTATAAACTGTTTTAAGAAAAATGTCAGCCTGTCATTCATTAGGTTTTGTGTCTTAATAACACTTACAGCATTTGTTCTCAATATTTACAGACACATATTTTTGGGTTGGAGTTGGGCCCCAGCCAAATCCTAATGGAGATAAGATTCCTGATGAGAAAGGCTAGTATGTAAAAGTGGAATATTTTCCTACTTTAAATTCACATTGTGTTTAACAAAACAACCCAATATAGAGAAACACACATCAGTATAGACTGTTGCGCTGTAATATTGTGATGAGAAACACACACAATAATTCAACAGACATAAAAAATTAACACAGGATCTCTCCCTGGTTCAGAGATGCCTCAGTGGCAAGGATTGGATGTGAAAAAAAAATCTGGGATGTATCTAATTTTGGTGAATCTTTGCAGGATGTAGCATACAATTAGATATGACAATTACAGTTTACATTTTTCAAATCAGTCAAAAATTGACTGAGTATTAACTTGCCACATCATCATCAGAAACCCCAAAGTTAATGACTACTTCTTATTATATACCCAGTGGGTTTTCTACGTGAGCCTTTTTCTTCACCCATCATTGCATCTGTTTTTCATACCAGAGCCCAATAGATCTACAGCAGATAGCTCCAACTTCCATTGACCATGACTCGATCATTGCTACTCTTTGGCATGTCATCATCAATTACCTGCATGTGCAAGGTTCCAAGATGTTGACTAGAAACTTGTGCAGCTGCTGTGGATGTGATCACAAACTTTTTGACAGCCCTGTTGAAACAAGTCGATTTATCAAGCCAAAAGATACTATGGTGGCACTCAAAAATAGGTTTAGTGCTGACAAGGACCATATTGTTAGTAGCAGTAGTAGTAATAGTAGCATTCTGTCAAATCAGAAGATCAACAATAAGGTCTCCAACCTCAAAGAGACAGATTAAAGAAAGGCTGCATACTTTGATTTGAGAATCAAAAGAGAGAATCAACTTGTGTGTGTGACCTTTGCTGGGAAGGTGGTGCAGCCCCTCTAAGACACTTTGTCTTTCTGTTTACTCATAACTCCTGTCTGAAATACGTTACCATCATATGAGTTTCATATTTGGATACAGCAGGTTCTTGATTTTCCAACAGTATATGTAAAACCTCCAAGAAATATTTAATGGAATTTCTCATTCCTTGCTCTGCCACTCAAAAACACTGCTTTACCTTTGGTTGAGGGAGAGATCCAATTTTAAAAGTACAGTAAAAAAATTGATTTAATCTATTAATTGAATGTGTAAAAGAAAACAAAAAAAACCACATAAATCGGTTTTAATATATAGAATCACTTAAAACAAATAATTCAGTATAAAGAGGCATTAAAACTAACACTTTAATAAAAATATTTAATACCTGAGCATAAACAATGAAATATAACTAGTGTCTTTATTTGAATATTTACAGTCTTATTCTTTGTTCGTTTGATTCTTTCAATTTTTCATCATAATTTTTAAAAAGTGAAGCAACATTAATTCCAGAAATACACATGCAATTATGTTTAAGTGTAATTATGAAAAGGATTTAATAAACTAGTATTAGGAGTTTTATACTGCTTGTTTCCTTCAGAGTTTGTCACCTCAGTGTTTAAAATGTTAAAAGATCAGAAAAAGTACAAACATTTTTTGTCTGAAATGCTGAACTCAAAGACTTTTTCAGAAAAGCAAATTGATTATGAAACACTTTTACATACAATTTTTGTTTTAATGTGTTATTGTGGACTTAATATATATTTGTTTAATTTATATATATATATATATATATAACTACTTTTTTCTTCAGTTTAAATGCACTAGGTCTATTATTCTGGAGAGACAGTACTTCTGGAGCTACCAGGAGAGATGACAGTTTTTAAACTAGATTGGATTAGTATCTGGAATCTGGAATCAAAGGAGAGTTATGGTTCACTGTTAATACCTGATGGTCTAAATATACCTCCATCACTACTGAGGATAATTGTAAGTATATTCTTTTTCTTTTAAAGAGTTCTTGGTTGATTATGTGAGATTACTTTTTTATAAAGCCAAAAAAAGAAAGTGGATTTATAATTATTGTCCTTCATTTTCAATGTAGAAAACTTTCCCTTTTTTAAGCTTGTGGTAAAATTTCCTTTAAAACTTAACCATTTTATTGTAGACAAGGCAGAATAAACTTTGGATTAACCTACTTATTTGTTGAGAAATTGGTTTACTAAACTCATAAGTTAATTAATGAGTGTAATTTAATTTAGTTTATTACTAATTAAAAAAAGTATGTCAGAGTTTTACATGAAATGTTTCATAGTTTGGAATGAAAAAACTATGTATGTTGTATTTTGTTAAATAAATCCACATACAAGGACTTGAATTGTGTGACAAACTCATGTAGAACTAAGAATAATTACAATCACTAATGGAAAAACTGTTGCTTGACTGTTGTTATTTTTGATAATTTACCAGAATAACAATGATGAAATTTGTCATATATATGTGTTGAAACAGATCCAGCAGGCTGGTTTTCTGATTTGTTATACTGAACTACATAGCGTAGAAACATTGAAAGTAGACAGATACTCTGGTTATTTAGGTTGGGTCACCTGAAGTAGAAAAAGGGGGATCTAGTACTTTGGTTAGTAATACTAATAACATTCACCATTGATTACTGTGTCATGCTTGAACACTGCATTGAAAAAAAAAAGCAATTTTTGTTATTATATCAAGTTTTTAAATATTGTGAGTAATACTTGTTAATTTAAAAACAAGGATTTTGATGAAAATAATGTAGTTGTATCCAGCTATTACTGCAAAAAAAATAATTTTGGAGGTTAAGGTAAAACTTACCAACAGGTTAACATTAAGTCAGTACAAATATGAAATGCATGTTAATCACTGTTAAGTAACATACATATGTATACTGAGAGTTAAACCTTTTGAAAAAAATGCAAGATACAGTTCAACTTTACTGGAATTAAACAGAAATAAGTAAAGAAAGGAAAGTATTAAATTCTGTAGTTATTGTGATTTTAAGAAAGTGAAATTAAACAGAGAAAAATCAAAGATAAAATTCAATAAAAGAATCTAAGATGCAGATTTAATCCTTTCTGGACAAGAGTTGTGTCACTGATTTCCCCTGATTTTTTCCTTTTTATAGTGGAAATATTTAACCGAATTGCATGAAACTTAGTATAAGCTTAATAAATCATGTCTAGTTTTCTTGAAAAACATTAAAAATGCTTCCTTTTGTCTCAGAAGATAATTTTTTTTCAATTATTGATCAGGAAGTTCCATTTTGTATACCTAGTCACTTTCAACATGATTGGTAGTCCTTAAAATATTTCTTTTAATGCTTTATTTTGCTAACTGAAGTAATCAGAACTTCTGGTCAGATATCACCTTTACCTATCAGGCTAGGTGTCATAATTTTTGCTGACTCCTTTCTTAGTCAAGAAAAATTTATATCTAATAAATATGGTTTCTTTTCAATAAATACTAAGTTCTTATATGTGTGCTGTTTGAATGTGATAAACTCTTAACAGTGATATTCAATAAATAATGATTTTAGTAATCTGAATATTTTGCCATTACCTGCTATCGTGCAGAAGAATACTTACAATCTATGGTAATGATACAAAAATGAGTATTAATAGGTCTCATAGCCATTTTTCCACTATTAATGGTGATCTCTGAAAGGCCTCTGGTTATTGACTATTTCTCTGCAATATAATTTCCCACCACAGGAGCATTTTGGTTAACATGTTGAGTTCAATGTTTTTCCCATCCTCTTTACGTGTTTTCCAAAGTTAAACTATGTAAGATGATTTCCAAAATCCCATTTGAACAACCCAAAGACACAAAAGTCCATGGGAGATATATATGCATATTGTATAGCATAAATGCATGTTTCTGCATGTATCTGTTGAAGGATTTGGCATGTGGACTTGGGTGTGTTGCTGGATGCTTTGTCTCGATGGAACATCACCTTATTTTGCACAAATATGCTATTTTATTGTGACATAGTGGTGTCATTATGTTAGCCTGATGCTACGCAAACTTCACCTTAGCACTTTTCTTGACTCTTCATATGTTTAATGCACCATTATAATAGCTCTACCTCACATTCATCATAAATTCCTTTAAAGATTTTTTACGACATGCTCCATACCATTTCTGAAATGTTGTGCCATTAACAAGATGATAATAAATTGCCCAGTCTTTTACAGATACTTAAATAGACAAATGCTTTGAGCAGTGTGATAAGACATCTTCATTTACATGCTTGATATTGCTATTACAGCTTTTGACCATTGTTCTTCCATTTGGCAATCTGTTTTGGAAGATGCTTGGGAATATGCCTCTTGTGTCAGTGTCACCTAAATCAGTATGAATTGTATTGTTTACAGTTCCAAATCTTTTTTCTTTAATTATAAATACCACCAATAATTGAATGTATCACACTTAATTACATTTTGGATTCCCTGTGTACTTTACATAGAAAATGGGAGAGTTTGTTAATTATTTTTGGTGAATTATCTACACTGAATTTTCTAACATGCTTAAGTATAAAATTACTCAATATGATGCAGTATATGGATCTTACTGGTAGTGAACAGTATAATAAGTCAAGAATCTTTATCTACCTCCTCTGTGTGACTTGTACATGGTTATGGTGTTGCATGTGTTTTTTCTTTGTTGGAATCACATCTTCCTATTCTTTACCAATACAGTTCAATACTACAGATATACCTTTCTTCAAAATCTAAAATTGTATACTTGCATGCATTTATAATTACAGAATAGGAGAATTTTGTGTTGGAAAGTCTTGTAATGCATACCTCCCAGAAGTGGTCAATTTTGGCAGCCAATGCATTTTACCAAAAGTTTTAGGACTACATCACAGGATGGATAAAGATATGGTGATTGGATAGGCACATTGTTACCATAAATTATAAACAATGTTTTGTAGACATTTACACTTATGCTGACATCCCTAGTTGATGGAGGACAGTATTAAGTTTGATTCTCTAATAGTGCTCACTGTATGAAATCCTAAGCCATTCACAGATCTTGTTTGACCTAAGCTACTCCTACTCATTGTGGCAAACTTGAATTGCATTTTTTTTCCTTTTACCCCTGATCCTGTACATTATCTTTCTCTCAAGATTTTCCTAAAGCTTTCTGTATTAATGATTCTCAAAGCAAGAGGATTGTAAAGCATCAGTCTAGATAACTATTATTTTTTGCTGGTGTTTCTAAGAGTGTGAGTTCACAACATTATGTAACCAATGTCTAACAAAGGTTAATCAGTGGTTCACATGATAATTACTATCAATAACAGTTTCTATATGGTGGGTGATTTTCATCTTATTTTACAGCTATTGCTCAATCCAAATAAGTATGAAATAGTCATAACACACTAAAATTATATCTATATAATACCTATATCTAAGTTGAGTCATAGTTTTGTAAATGTTTGTTGGACACATACCCTCAAGCAGTTTCCTGGTTCAAAATGTGTAATCTTACACAATTGGTTATATGTTGTGTGCCTCTTGCTGATAACACAATATTGGGCTAAAGCCCTAACCACTCTGAATTTGTTAAAGAGTTTTTAACAAAACAGCATTTTTTGAACTAAGAGCCTAGTTTTGATTGAGATATGGTTAAAATATAAGGAAATTTTCCTGCCAAAAAAAAAACACAACAACTGGTAACACGGTTCAAAAAACCTAGAATTATCCACATCAGTGAGGAAAATCGCTGTTATTGAAATTCCATAAATGATGGATAACAGCCATGTGACCAATTCTAGTAGTGAACAGAGTGCTGATATTGAATGTAATGATGTTACTGAAATTATTCAACAAAGTAGGAAAAATGAAGCATATATTAGTCTATACATTTGACAGTGACAATATAAAACTAGTTAGGAATAGAAATTCGTGATAAAATATAAGATAAAACAACTTCAGTGTCTAAGTTCAATGAATATACTTTATTTTTCTTTGTCTACTACTTTTTATTTTAGTATACTTGTACAATGATATATTTTGGTAGAGAAACCTTGCCTTACTTGATTGAGACTCCTTCCTTCATTGGAGTGAATGATCTAAGATTGATGATGCTAAGTGGATGGAGAGTAGTTACCATTAGTCTTTTCATAACAGAAGTGAGAAAATTGGCACTGTATTCATGGGAAAGCATGAAAGGAGGATGCTTACTCTTTGAGAAAGAAATTCATCAGGGTTTAGAAAGTACATTTTATTTCAAATGCATATATGGTTCTGTGAAAAAGATCCATTGACAAAGCTGTTAAAGACCAACAATTCAATCAACCTCATAGCAGTGTTGGGTTTTTCTGCTGTAGGAGCTGGCCATCCACAACAACAAAAAATTTTTTCAGTTGTGGGAATATCAGCAATAAGCAGTCCTACATTTATCAAATGAAGACAAAATTGCAGAGGTATGTACATTTTTAAGCCAGCTGTAAAATATGTGTAGTGTATAAATTATAAAAAATTGTAATTTTGCTAACTGAATCAAGGGAGGAGGAGTTTTGTACAATGCCGTAAATGAACAACCATAAAATATTGACAGATTTATGGTATTGCAATAACATTGTTGTTTGAATAATGCAACAAAGTTATATGGAAAGAATATTTGAGAGAAAGCAATTGTTAGTTATTAAAAATATTCTGAAATGTATATCTTGAACATGTATGTTTTGATGATAAAGCTATGTTTATTTTTCAGTCATGAGAAGTCCTCTTGGAAGAACAGATGAGATTGGTAGGCACCAAAAGAGATAAATGGCTTTAGAAACTGGTAACATTGATCCTGATGCGGTGCCTTGGATAACTATCATTTTAGATGGGGTGGAGTCACAGAAGTTATGGACATCGCTATACAGCTAGTTTTGAAGTAATTGCTATTATAGGCCACAAGACAAGCAAGCTTTTGTTTTTAGGTGTTAGAAACAAGTA